AGAGAGAGTGTGAGTGTGTGTGTGTGTAAGAGAGTGATGCAGGAGGAGGAATGCATGACACATTCCTTCTTTTCTCTGCATCCTTCTTTACACATGTAGGGATTCATTCACTTCCTGTGGGGATGAAATTAGCATCGTAAAACAGAACCCTGCTGCCCGCCGGACCTCCCACAACACACACAAACACACAGTAGAGCAGTCCTGTGTGTGTGTGTGTGTGTGTGTGTGTGTGTGAGAGAGAGAGTGTGTGTTGCATTTGGCATGATACAAACTTCAGTTCATTCAGTGGTTTTGCAGTATTTTGGATGCAAACGCTGCATTAATGTCAGTCTGTTCATATCAGAATGCATTCACTAGAATCTCTTGTGGAACATCAGGTTGTTTCGGGTTTGTTTAATTATTTATTTTGATTAAATTTTATGTGCCATTTGCTTTTTTTGGATGAAATCAAAACTGAATTGATCTGAGTCTTTTAGAGCTGTTAATTATTTATTTTGATTAAATTTTATGTGCCATTTGCTTTTTTTGGATGAAATCAAAACTCAGACTGAATTGATCTGAGTCTTTTAGAGCTACTTAACACTAAATCACACTGTAACAAAGAGTGTGTGTGTGTGTGTGTGTGTGTGTGTGTGAGAGAGAGAGTGTGTGTTGCATTTGGCATGATACAAACTTCAGTTCATTCAGTGGTTTTGCAGTATTTTGGATGCAAACGCTGCATTAATGTCAGTCTGTTCATATCAGAATGCATTCACTAGAATCTCTTGTGGAACATCAGGTTGTTTCGGGTTTGTTTAATTATTTATTTTGATTAAATTTTATGTGCCATTTGCTTTTTTTGGATGAAATCAAAACTGAATTGATCTGAGTCTTTTAGAGCTGCTTAACACTAAATCACACTGTAACAAAGACACTGTGTAACAAGCGTTCACTTAAAACAGTTTTAAGTGAACGCTTGAGATACACAGAAGAAAAACTGCAAGTGTTTACATGATAAAAATAAAGCATTAATAAGAAAAATAAAGAAGAGAGGAAAAAAACAAATTGAAAGATATTGTAGAAGTCTGATGTTTTAGAAGTCTATCTGAGAATAATAGAAAGTTGAATAGAGAAGTGAAGGAGTGTCAGACAGATGTGTGTTTGAGAAGATGCTGCAGCAGCAGATCTCATGTTACTGACAAAATCTGCTTCAGCCTCTAAAAGAGTCCAATTCAATTATAAACCCAGAGAGAGAGACAGCTTTCATTACTCTGTCTCACACACACACTCTCGTGGTAATGCCTGTGTGTGTGTGTGTGTGTGTGTAATGATGATCCTCTATCAGAGTCTGAACTGATCCGGCACACACACACACACACACACACACACACACACAGCCGTGAACGTCTCTCGTCCATTAACGTGTGTGTCCGTGTCTTTTAACGGCTGCTGCTCTCTCTTCTCTCTCTTCTCTCTCTTCTCCTCGAGTCTCGGCGGACAAACCTGCAGGAACAGAGAATTATTGATTTACCGTTTACA